TTGGTTAACATCGACCAGACTCCACAGTGCAACAACCCAGAAGACAGAAATCTTCATCGCCCTGATGATGGAGGCAGTATGACCTCTGAAACGTTGGTTAACATCGACCAGACTACACAGCGCAACAACCCAGAAGACAGAAATCTTCAAAATAGACTACTCTTTGACGAGCAGAGTGTACAATTGACTTTTCAAAGAATATAACAACACTTTTATTATGGGCCAATAAATAAAATCCATCAGGTTTAAGTTACGTGATATTGTGGGCTATAACTCAGAAGTGAAGCATCCAATTATCCACGTTCATGTAGAAATTTTCATTTCTTCTGTGCACAGAACATGACGCTAAAATGGCACTGTATTAGAAACACTCTGTGCCAAAGTAAGTCAACTAAAATATGCAAGTTGACGCAGTGACTAGAGTGCTGGATGTTTGCAGAGATCGCCATATGATCGAGTCCTGTTATAATCCAAACTTTCTCTTCTAAATAAGCTAAGGAGTATATTATTGATGTTGTTGTTAATGTATTCACTTTCCTGAGGAGGATTTTTTACTTCATATAAAACCTCAAGGATCTGACCACGTTTTTCACTGTTGACTTAGAAACAATGCTTTCATGCAGAATTTATAGATATTTTTGTAATTTTCTCTATTCCAAGTTTTACATTCCTAATGATTTATTGCCACCAAAGAAACAAAATCTGAAAAAGTTTTATGCAACCATAGTTTTTTTTTGTTTTAAATTACAACCCCCCTCAAAAAAAAAGCATGAACAGAAGTTTCATATTTTTTTGAAAAATTTATTATCTTACATCATTTCAGGATTATGTATTAAACGGCACCACTGTTACTGCATCATCGAAAGTTCACTAACTGTAGGAAATGAAAATGTTTTGAGTGACCTCCAGTGGCATAACATCCATTACAAATATTATTACCTCTCTATCGTCTTAATTTGAAATTACATTAGAAGAAATGTTTGGTATTTCATTAGATGCATTCCATTAACTGAAGACCTTAATACGGAAAGTGGGTAATTCCAAAAATGGCCAGAATTGAGAACAGCAAAAATTAGAACAATTTTGCAGTATAATAGACAGATAAAACCACCAACAAATAAGTATTTTAAACATTCTTCACGTGTATTTGGTGCAAGAAAGGTCTAAATGTTTAAAGTATGTCCCGTTCTTGCCCTAAACTACTTTGATACTTTGATATTTTTGCAAAGAACTCCTGGAATATTTATTTTTCCAATGTTTGTAATGTATAGATGATAATGAATACAGAACTGAAATGATTTGGAATGAACTAGCCACGGCCAAATTTTATGTGTAAGCTGGCAATTGCTTGGAAGGACTTTGGTAAACCTCAGTCATTTAGACCAAGATTTGAACCCACGACCATTACCTACTCGATTGCAATGTTCAGTTTCTCCAGATTATGTGACCATATCAGTTTTTTTCATTGTAAACTCCACTTATAAACCAAGAAAACATTGTCATTGATAATTATCGTTTAGAGAAGACGAAGTTTAAGACACATTTTCTAATTTTTGGGCAAAAAGGGGATATATCTGTTAATAGAATTACTTTTTATTCAAAGAATTCTTGTTCGAAATGTCTAAGTATGTTTGTGAAGACACTGAGAATAAATTAACACTGCCAGAAATACTGAATAATTAAATAATTTGTTGTCCCTCCTGGAAAAGAAATCGCTCGTTCCCTTTCAGCTTCAAAGTATTCAATCATATGAGTATACTATTAAAATTTGTATGTAAAAGTAGAACACCGTTACGTCGTCTTCATTATATACAACTGGAAAATTATTTTATTAGCTTTAATATTTATCTCTAGCAGTTTTGTTACTTTCTTTGAGAAAAAGCTTATTTTTCTCACTCTGTGAGTAGAATTACAGCTCATCAGTGTCTGATTGATCACTATTGGTCAATAATTGCGAGGTTTGATACCCACCTATAAAAGTTTCGGCATCTTTGTAGGCCTCAAGTTTTATGTATTTGTCTGTGTTTTTTAATGTCATCGTCAGTCATTCTATTTGTGGTGAGTACGAAATATGAACAATACAGCATTTGTTTCTACGTCAGCACTAACCAAATTTGGGTTTTAAAATCCTATTATAATGTTCATTTGTTAACCCTTGTGCAAATTTAGGTAACGAGAGGAAAAATTGAACACGAAACATTAGACATGTGATTAACGTACATTTAACTGGAGTGAGAATTCATTGATTCAGAAATACTTTTAATCACATCCATGAGACTTACAGAATGCTTTTTTTTTTTAAGCATGCTGTAGGCTAGGCTCCTTTTCAGGAAACGTCTGTGACACGCACGTGTGAATTACAATTTCTGTCTTTCATTCCAGGTACTCAACTATTGCCCGAAAGATATGAAAGCTGACATCTGTGTGCATTTGAACCGTAAAGTGTTTAATGAACATCCGGCATTCCGTCTAGCTAGCGACGGTTGCCTGCGTGCGTTAGCCATGCACTTCACGATGAGCCACTCGGCTCCTGGTGATTTGTTATATCATACTGGGGAATCCATCGATAGTCTGTGCTTCATTGTCACAGGATCGCTTGAAGTTATACAAGATGATGAAGTAGTGGCTATTTTAGGTGAATGTCTTACCTGACGTCATTTATTCAGTACCTTGATTAATGATGATTCCTTCAGTACTGTCAGAATCATTTCTAAACTAACTCCTATAGTGATGTAAACATAAACCTTGTCAACTTCCCAACGTAGCCTCCTCTTCCACATATATATGTTTACTTCCAGTGTACACAGCATTTAAACTAAGTTGTATGCGTTTATCGTTAACATAAAGCAGCAAGGGCAGAGCCATTATGGTCCAGAATTTTAAATTGGTCTATATTCTAGTTTTTCACAATATTATTCTGTAAATGATAGTTCTTAAATAATGAAAATTTGTGACCTATAATTTTATAAAAGGGCCAAAAATTTCTGCTTGTGAGCAGTAAAATATTTTTGTGCGTCAGTGTCATTCTCTGAATATAGTCCGTCGGCCATAAAATTAATGCACGTATGCTTTTTATTCAATACAGGAAAAGGCGATGTTTTTGGGGACTCGTTCTGGAAAGACAATGCGATCGGACAGTCGGCTGCCAATGTCCGAGCATTGACTTATTGCGACTTGCACACGATCAAGCGAGACAAGCTGCTTGAGGTGCTTGATTTCTACCAGGCGTTTGCTAACTCATTTGCTCGCAATCTCATCCTCACCTACAATCTTCGTCATCGGGTGAGTGCTGACTATGAGGGTCTAATTTAAAGTACTTGTCATGGCGTGTGTTACAAGAATTATATTTTCCACTTGTTTAAGTGATTAAAAGATTTTAAATTCAGGAGGTCTGCTTGTCTCAGACAATGTAGACAAAATACAAAGTATTATGCATGTCTGCACATTAGCGGACTATAGAAAAGAAATCTTTCCCGAGGCATTTCTGTGAATCTGCTTTTAAGCAGCTTTGAATATAAATAATCCTTTGATGATAAACATTTATGTCTCTACTGCAGTAACAGACCATATTTAGTTATTTAATTTTTCAAAGCTAAGAATTTTGATATTGTAGCCCTAACATGTAGAAAAATTAAGATTTACTTTCAATTTCACGTGACAATAAAACCCTCCTCTCCATAATAAAAAATATAAACAAAACACTCTTTAAAACATGTAATTTATTCTTGAGCGAACCCTTTACCAGCAACACAGACAGTGTTTTAGAATATAGTAATACTGCTTCCACGATGCAGTTTGTTAAACATGCTCAATTTATTTTGGGGGGTGGACCGAAGCACACCATAGAAAATATTTAAATTCCTGTAATTTTCTTTGTATGTAATAAGGAATAAATTTAAACAGTTACTGATAATGATAATATGTAAGTTTTGGATTGTACATCACATTTATTACATTTCAAGGATCCATAAGTTAGCCAGATGACAATAGAATGTGAAGAAAGTCATAATAATACAATACATTATGGATTTCACATAAAATAAGTGCAGGATTCATATAAAATACTGATATGTTACAAATAAATCCACTGACTAGATACAGTATATAAATTTATAGTATATAAAGATGAGAAAACCTTTATATTCACCAAAAGTGTAAAATAATTATTTAAGTATCTTCTTAATACTGGGGGGATACTGGGATGACCCGTTCTTCAAGTGTCTGAGAACTGCGGGTCCCATCTTTTCGTTGGCTTGATCTATAGACATTTTGGTAGGATTCCTTGGACGAGGGATCGGCCCGTCGCAAGGCCCCTACCTGTACACAGGACAGCACAACACAGAAAAACGCGGACAAACATCCATGGCTTGAGTGGAATAATGGCACGGTCTAAGGTTGTGAATGGAGACGATGCCTTCTTGATGTGAACGTTAACTATGAATTTATTGAATAAGAAGTGGACCCCCCCCCCCCCCCCAAAAAAAAAGTTTGCTGGGAAACTAGCAGCCTGTAAAATACTAGCATGTTACAGAGGCCTCAGAACTCGGACTGATTATTTGATTTTTCAGTAGCTGCACGACTATCAGCTTTTCAGTAGGTAGTTTCCTCCATGCCCTAGTACTAAAAGTGGAAAACTAAATTGTATTTTAGGTTCTCAAGATGGTAAGAAAAAAGATGGCTATCTTCTGGGTTGTAGCGCTGTGTAGTCTAGTAGAAGTTTACCAACGTTTCATAGGTCCTTGCTGCCTCCATCATCATGGTGATGATTGATGATCATTACCCTGATGATGGAGCCAGCAAGGATGTCTGAAATGTTGGTAAACTTGTACCAGACTACATGGCGCTACAACCCAGGAGACAGCCATCTTTGTGTGGAAAACTACTTCAGTTTTGTGTATGTGTGTTGTAAATGTCTGTCTCATGCAATGTAATGTGACATCATTTAGTTTGTAAGCATATCTGTGTACGTTTGTTGTAGCTTATTTTTCGCAAAGTGGCGGACGTGCGTCGTGAGAAGGAGTTGGCAGAAAGAAGGAAGAACGATCCTCAACTGGACCAGCAGCAGGATCACCTCGTGCGCAAGATTTTCTCGAAATTTCGCAGAGACCGGGCGCAGGCGTTGCAACCCCCTGCACAGCCTGCGCAGTCGCCTGCAGGTTGGACTTTGACATGTTCCCTGATGGCAGCTGTTTTCTGTTTCTTCGCCGAACGTGGCCTGAGTCAGAAATTGCTGATATAAAAAAGCAGATTGATTTACTAAAGCATTTATCCCTTACACAAAGTATTTGAATGAATAAAACAAAAGAAAATATATTTGCGTAGATACTTTTTATGCTGACTCGTTTCATAAGCAAAGCATGTATTCCTCCCATTCAAGTATGTTTGGAAATAACATAAATAGAACAATTAATTTCCTAAAAAGACCAGCAGCAAAGTATTTCTGACCATAATATCAGTTAAACAACACAAAACACAAGAAATCTCCTCAAACACCGTATTTCTGGCATAGTACGTTGTCTACAAATACTGCGTCAGTCACAAGGAACCCGAGAGAGAGAGTGTAACCCCCAAAACCACCCCGTCTAATCCTGTTCAATCTCCGTCCCCCCGGCCATGCCTACGCATGGGATGAAACCAGAAGGAGAGGGAAAAGAGGAAAATGATTGGCCTCTTCAATCAAGCTTAAGGTCAGTCGCCCAGTCTGAGGTTATCCAAAAACATCCTCTTTGACCAAGGGCCAAACACTTTGGCTCACAACCATTTCCTGAACTTCCTTTGCTGGACTTTCAGATCCAAATCCACCCATAAAGTGCTACCTCTGTCCTTCATAATTTGACGTACATTCCCAGACAAAACTTTCCATACGAGCTGTCTCTTGTTGTTTATCATTTCCTAAACATAGAATTTGCATTAACAGCAACGTTATTAACAGAATGGTCACTGTGTATTTCAGAGTCAGTAGACTAAATCGTGAATCATTAAATTTGAACGTAATTTGCGTGAGTTCATCTGGTACAACTCTTTTCCCGCTTGTAAATGCCGTGATATTATCATTTTGATTTTCATCGCCTACCACCACGTGGTTAATTTATTAAAAAAGGTTTCTCCAAAACAGACGACAAAATTGGTCATGCTACGAATGTACTGATTACATTTGATCATCACGTGTGATACGGATGACCTGCCGTACATAGTACACTGGAATCAGCTTGAATGTTTAAAATCTGCTTCCCATCAATAAACATCTGTAACATGACCACCATACGAGAGAAGTTACATAGAAGGAAAAATAAATTATCTCATTGATTTTCATTAAGAATTCTTGGATATTCTGATATAAATCTGTCCAGTTTTTAATTCGTTCCTCTCCGCCCCAAGCTCCTTCATGAAAAATTGGTATTCTAGCTCTGTGCTCAGTGAATTACTTGAAATGTAGCTCCATGTCCTGGAGCCACGCGTAATGTCGTACAATCCTGCTTACAGGTCAGCAGGCGGACTTGGAGCGTGGGGATTCGGCATCTGGCGAAGGCGCGGGGGACGGTACAGCAGGAAAGTCTGTCGTGCGAGTCTTGTCGACAACAAAATTATCCAGCGTGGCGGAAACGGAGCACGGGAGCGTCGGAAGCGGGGCCCTAGTGGCCGTGACTACCAGGGGCCAGCGTCCTGCCACAATCCGTACCAGCAAGTGGGGACGTCTGTTGGGGAGCAGCAGCCTCGATTCAGGAAGCGAATCTATGAACAGCAATAATAATACCACGGCGATCCAGCGTTCTGTGTCTGCCAGAGACCATACAAGTGGAAATAATAAAGACAGAGTCCAGTCGTTATCAGGTACTGGTAGTAATACGTCCACAAACGGCGCAGCATTGGGATCTGGTAATAAAGTGTTTCCCAAACTCCAGAAACTAACATCGTCAACGACAACGACACCAACAACCGTAGTGCCTCCACAGACAACAAGACGGGACACCATTGAAGAAATTGCGGAGTTTGAAGATCATGAGGGCACAAAACGCGTAGCAGGTACCAATTTGAGGAAAGTGGATTTGTATGATAGTGGCATTCTTCATAGCTGTGATCAGAGGCTAAATGAAGCCTCTACGGGTAGTCTCGTTTTATACCAGCGGCCAGTTGTAACACCTGCGCCACCAGGAATTGCTGCAGCGGAATACAAGGAAATAATTTCTAACATCATGGACTTCAAAGTTGATGTGAAATTGGAAGTTCAGAGATTAAATCAAAAAGTAGGACACATGGAGGAATTATTAACAGAACTGCTTTCAAGGTTTAGTCAGACTGCGCCTGTAGGAAACTCTGCAGCTTCTTCAGCTTCTTCTCAGTCACCCCCACAAGAGGCTGAAGAAGGAACAGAGACTCAACAAGTAGCGGGCGCCACGCAGC